CAGAGTCTCAAGCTGTCGCCATGGGTAGAGTAACATGGCATCATAGTTCATAGCAACCTCCAACTTGGGCTCAAGCAATCCTCTTGCCTCAGTTTTTCTATTTTTAAAAGTGGGGGGGGGTCTTGATTTTGCTCAGGCTGGTCTCCAACTCATGAGTTCAAGCAATCTACCCACCTTGGCCTCCCAAAGTGCTAGGATTACAGGCATGAGCCACCATACCCGGCCTGTTGTGACTATTTATAACGTTTGCTTAGACCATCCCTAAAGCCTAGACAACTTTTCCTCTTTGGTTCTTTGTAGTACTCCCCACAGTGGTCTTCACACATCTGGGACCAGCAGACGCTTCTTCTCCTTTGCCCATGCCTCTGTTAGCACACAGGGGCCAGTCCCAGTCCAGCAAAACCCTCAATAAATATGTGCTGATTAGCATAACTGTGGGAATAAAGACTTTGTGGGAATGAGAGAATTTCTTAGTCACTCTTATTTTTAAGGAGTATGCTAACAGTTCTTTCCATCCTTGTGAAAATTTTATTGGAAAACACTCTAAAATACCACGCCTGTCAGAACAGTGCCATTTTTTCATGTTCCTTTAATATGAAAAGTTACTAATTATGCCTAATGATAAGAGAGGTGCACATGAGAACTACACTTAGCTATCACATCTTGTCTCTGTTATTTTAAAGTGTAAGGTGCAGAACAGTATGTTTAATAATTCTACCTTTTATTTATAAGGGAAGAAGAGTACGAGAATGTGTATGGATTTGCTTATATGTGAAAATAATAAAGAATAGAAGATAAACCAAAAATTGATTGAAGAGGGGCAGCACCTGTGGCTCAGTGAGTAGGACACCAGCCCCATATACTGAGGGTGGCAGGTTCAAACCCGGCCCTGGCCAAACTGCAACAAAAATGTAGCCAGGGGTTATGGTAGGACCTCCCAGGTTCTTGGAGGCTGAGGCAAGAGAATCACCCAAGCCCAGGAGCTGGAGGTTGCTGTGAGCTGTGATGCCAAGGCACTCTACCGAGGGCGACAAAGTGAGACTCTGTCTCTAAGAATTCAAAAATTGATTGAAGAGAAGAGAATAGATGGTGGGGGGACAAAAATAGAAGCTAGACTTTCCTGAATGTACCTTCCTTTGTGGCTGATGTTAGAACTATTAAATGTGGCACATAATTATAGAATAAAAAACAGGGAGGAACTCATCCCTTAAAAATTGAAAGTAACAGCAGTGAATGAATAAACTTAATGGTGTTTCAAGTGGGTGGTTTGTCTTTCCTGAGAATTATCGGCAGGCCTTGCTTTGCACAGTTCTGAGGTGCTTGAATTTCAGTTATCACGGCTTAAATGGCACGAGCCCCCAGTGCAGTGGTTCCGATCTTAGTGCAGCATATTCACTGTGCGCAATTCATCCATAAAGTACAGATTCGCCAGTGACCAGGCAATCGCTTCTCTTAAAGCACAGTGGTGGATGGACACTGAGCATCCGCTATTCATTTCACACACAGACAGTGAAGCGTGTAGTTGTTGCCTTTTTCTCTCCCAATGAGGAGATAAACCCACGTGGCATTCTATGTAAATTGATCATCAAAAGAGGGAACTGGGCAACAGAGATGAAAATGTGGGGAAGAAATGCAAAGTGATAACACTAGAAGTAAGGTTCTCGTAGAGCATTCATAGAGTCACAGAAGAATAGCTGACTGTGGAAACGTGCAGCCCGGGGACCCATACAGTGTGCCCACGTGAACCAGGAAACTAGGTGGGTGTGAAGGAAAAGTGGCCATGTCCCAGAGGAAGTGGTGCCTCATGCATGCTGCACATTACAGAAACTCAGACATTTCACCCCATGGAAGTTGACTCAGAATTAGAAAGGAATTTGACAGTTTGCTAAGGCATAGAGAAGATTCACTTAGTGCTGGAAGTTCTGTGGCAAGAAAGCAGTTACGTTCAAAGAAAAAAAAAGTTGGGTGTTTTACAAAGTGCTATAGTCTGAATCCTCCCAAATTCATATGTTGAAATTTTAACCCCAAAGTAACAGTAGCAAGAGGAGGAATCCGAGGGTGGTGAGTAGGTCCCCTCATGCATAGGATTAGTGCCCTTATAAAAGAAAAAGCTTTCCTGCCCCCTCCACCATGTGAGGGCAGCCAGCAGGTGCCATCTGTGAACCAGGAAGTGAGCCCTCAAGCCAGACACTTAATTTGCCGGTGCCTTGACCTGGAACTTGCCAGCCTCCAGAACCGTGAGAAATAAATTTCTGTTTATAAGCTACCCAGTTTATGGTCTTTTGTTGTAAGTCTGAATAGACTCAGACACAAAGAAACAAAACACCTTGATGGTCAATGCATCTAATGTTTTAAATCACAGTATATTAAATAAATACGTTAGTTTTATTATTTCGTTCACTTCTTTATAAATTTATAACTGACAGAATTATTAGTGTTTTAGGGGGTTTTTTGGAGACAGAGCCTCAAGTTGTCACCCTGGTTAGAGTGCTGTGGCATCACAGCTCATAGCAACCTCCAACTCCTGGGCTTAAGCGATTCTCTTGCCTCAGCTTCCCAAGTAGCTGGGACGACAGGTGCCCACCACAATGGTCGGCTATTTTTTGGTTGTAGTTGTCATTGTTGTTTGGCAGGCCTAGGCTGGATGCCAACCCGCCAGCTCTGGTGTATGTGGCTGGCATCCTAGCCACTTGAGCTCCAGGCACCTAGCCTCATGAGTCATATCTTAAGGATAAAAGGAAAAACAAATCTTAAACTCTTCCCAGCAAACATGTTTAGTAATGATATTTGTATTATTATACTTGTTAGGAATCAAAATTTTCAGCGTAAGAGAGGTACATACCAAATCAAAGAGGTTAAACTTTGCTGTAATCCCACATTTCTTTTTTTATTGTTTTTTTTCAATTCAAGACCAATTTATTCTCAAGTTTTGCCAACACAAATACTATCCTTGAAGTGCACCAAATCCTTCCATAACAACTCTAAATATGGAACGCATCACGAATTTGCGTGTCATCCTTGTGCAGGGGCCGTGCTAATCTCTGGATCATTCCAATTTTAGTATGTGTGCTGCCGAAGTGAGCACTGTAATCCCAATTTAATTGAAAATAAAACAAACGATGGATATGATCTTTTTAAAAATTTTCTTAATCCTTATATCCCTTATAAAAGCATAAAAATGGCCCCTGGTAGCAGAACATATCCCCAGATCCCACAGTGTGGATTCTATGCATCATTGCCCGTTAGAAGGAAGCAGGGGTCAGGCGCAGTGGCCCACACCTGTAGTCCTAGCACTTTGGGAAGCCAAGGCAGGAGGAAGATCACTTGCCATGAATGCAACAGCAGTCTTAGCAAGAGCAAGACCCCGTCTCTGTAAAAAATATAAAAAGTAACTGGTACACCTGTAATCCCAGCTCCTTGGGAGGCTGAACAGGAGGATTGCTTGAGCCCAGGAGTTTGAGGTTGCTGTGAGCTAGGCATCCACCACCTCACTCTAGCCTGGGGCAACAGGGTAATAATCTGTCACAAAAATAAAAATACATACATACAGGGATACATACAAACAAGCTTACAAGGAGCCAGGGCGCTTTGGAGTAATGCCAACTCCATTTTAGGTCTTGGTCTGAAAATGAACAAGATGAGCTAGGATTTCTCTTCATTGCCAGAAAGCAAAGAACTATCAAAGGTGGTTTCGTAATATAAAAAAGATTACAGAAACAACTTGAATGACTTCTAGCCAGCAAATAGTCAGGGAGAGAATAAAAGAATAATAATTGCGGTGGATTAAACTACGTCAAATATGTTTAAAACTATGAATTTAAAATGATACCAAAACAACGAAACCCATTATTAGTTACCTTTGGAAAATGGGAGGTATATTATATTTTATATATAATACTTATATTTTATATATATATATATATACATATATATATTTTGGAGACAGAGCCTCAAGCTGTCTACCCTGGGTAGAGTGCCATGGCATCACAGCTCACAGCAACCTCCAACTCCTGGGCTCAAGCGAGTCTCCTGCCTCTGCCTCCCA